AAATCGCCATTAATCGACCGAGTCAATTGACCCCACCGTATAACTGGAAAAAGTCATGGGTTAGCAGGGAAAGGGGAAAGCACAGAGAAGGTCGAAAAAGAAATGGAGTTTGTGGGAAAGATTGTGAAGAAACCATTCGAAGGGTTTGGGTTGTTCTCAGGTGTTATTGAGTCTTATGATCCATCATCAGGGTTCTTCAAGGTCTCTTATGATGATGGGGACTTCGAAGAATTGGAGTTTGACGAAGTTAGTTCCATATTGCAGATCGAGCAAGAACATGGCATGGGAGTGCAGATCCAGAGGCCAAGGAGACGGCGAAAGCCTAAAAAGCGGCGAATGATGGAGGAGACCCAATTGATAACAGGTGAGTTCACAGAGACGCATGCTAACAGTTGTGTTGGTGATTTTGCAGATACCCATTCGGGAGAAGCCAATTCTGTGGACACCCAAATGGAGAAGAGTGGTTTTGCTGATTCCCAAATGGTGGAAAACGGTTTTTCTGGGACCCAAAAAAAGAGACATGGTTTTGAAGATACCCAACTGGAGGAAAGCGGTTTTGTGGAGACCCAACAGGAGGAAAGTGGCTTTGGTGATGCCCAAATGGAAGGAGGTGGTTTTATGGAGACCAAAGATACCCAACTGGAGGAAAACGGTTTTGTGGAGACCCAACTGGAGGAAAATGGTTTCGATGATCCCCAAATGGAAGGAGGTGGTTTTATGGAGACCGAACAGGCGACAAGTGGTTTTGCTGATACCCAAATGGAGGAAAGCGGTTTCATGAAGAACCCTGCAGAGAAAAGTTTTTTTACAGATACCCATATGGAAAAAAATGGTTTTGGTGGAAGCGAATCAGGGGCTTCCATTGACCAAGTTGCTGATTCAGTCAAAACCCATGGTTTTGCACAGATGCAAATGGAGAAAGGTGTTTTTCTAGCTGGCTCTTTGGGTTCTCATGTGAAGAACGGTGTCTCTAATGGAGTTCTGGTCCAAGCCCAAATGGAGGCATGCGATTTTGTGGAGTCTCAAATGAAAGAAAGCCCATTTCCTGCTCCAAAAAGAAGAAAAACTTGTGATGGGAACAGTAATTCTTTGCTTCCAACTCCTCCTAGAAGGAGCTCTCGATTAACTGGAACATCTTCTGTTTCAGTCCCAGTGCCAAAGAAATTAGAATTAGAAGACGCCATTGCTGAGCCATTTAAGAACCAGGATGGTCCTCAAATAGTGTCATTGCCACCTTCTTCTAAGGATCTTCAGAGTGATGACCTCCCTGTTCTTGACCTCTTCTCTGTTTACAGTTGTTTGAGATCTTTCAGTACATCTTTGTTTTTGAGTCCATTTGGTTTGGAAGATTTTGTAGCAGCACTCAAGAATGAGACTGCAAATTCTCTATTAGATTCCATTCATTTTTCTCTTCTACAAGCTCTAAAGCGACACTTGAAATTTCTCTCCGCCGAGGGTTCAAATTCTGCTTCAACTTGCTTGAGGTATGAGTCTCTCTCTCTCTCACCCTATATATGTGTTGTGTGTGTGTGTGTAGGTGTGCGCATGCGTGTATGAGCGCACGTGTGCGTGTGTGTCCATCCACTTGTGGTGCTTGATTTTGATGCTTTCAAGTGGTATTCAGGAGCCTCGATTGGAACCTACTGGATTTAATTACATGGCCAGTTTACCTCGTAGATTATGCTCTTATTTGTGGAGTTGGCAAGAAATCCAGCATTGTACTTGATTGCAAAAAGCTGTTGAATGGAGGCTACTGGAAACAATCTCCAACCGTTAAACTTGAGATTATTCAGTGCCTATGTGATGATGCTATGGAGGCAGAACATATAAGATTAGAGCTTCAAAGAAGGGTCTCTGCTTTTGGACTTGACGTGGATTGGGATAAAAGCATAGAAAGTTCTAGGAAGAGGAAGGTTTTAAGGAACGACATAGGCAATAAGTCTGATAAGCTTGAGTTGAATGGGTTCAGTGATTCTGGCATGAGTTTAGATGTTATTGGAGTTGCTTCACCAGAATGTATCGATGATGATTGTGACATGAACCATGATGAATGCTGCATTTGCAAAATGGATGGAAGCTTGATTTGTTGTGATGGTTGCCCAGCTGCTTATCATTCAAGGTGTGTTGGGGTCTCCAAAGCCTTGTTACCGGAGGGTGCTTGGCATTGCCCAGAGTGCTTAGTGGAGAAGCGTTATGGGCGACGGGAGCCATTGAAATTTCTCCAGGGTGCAAAGCTTTTGGGAATTGATCCTCATGGGCGACTTTTCTTTGGTACTTGTGGCTACCTTCTGGTGTAAGTCTTTGTTCAACAGTTTAACTTTATGGAAAATTCTGTTTTCTTGAGAGTGGCATTGGTTAATTATATGCAGAAAATAGGGGCACACTTTTCCAAATATATAAATATAGAAGCCCCTTCTGTATGATATTGCTTATGTTAGATTATTTTGATTATTGCCTTTGAGTCATCGTATGTTACTATTCAATTTCCAAATAGTGGTCTTTCCTCTAATATTATTGAAGAAGGATAGTGCAGTGTAAATTGGAAATGCCTCTCCATATTCAAAAAGAAAGAAAGAAGGGGAAATGCCCCTTTTAGTTCTGGGCTTTAGCAGTTTCTTAATTACAGCTGACCAGGTTTGTATTTGGGATAATGGGAGTTAATAGTTCAATTCAGCTCTAGGAAACATACCACATGACGAGATGCAATAGGTTCACAAAAGATCCTAATTTTCCCATAGATTTAGGCTTCTCTAGTTACATAATTCAAATCAGACCTGCAAACAAATGCATATGTGCTGAAAAATTTCTCCGTGTTATTACAAAACTGAGAGAAAATGATGTTTCATTATATACTTTGAATAAAAACGCTTGTTTCAGGAGGACTTGATAGAAAAGAGATATCCTAGGTCACTCACTTTTAAAGCTTGTCTTCTTCTTGAAAATTATGAATCTCATAACAGAATTGTAGGGTTAAAAATCATTAAAGGAGACGAAACCCCTTACAAAATATTAAAGGGGTCAAATTATCTCTATTAACATTTTGAGGGCATACTTCTCTTTTATCATTTCAATAAGATACTTCCTCCCAAAAAAAAAAAACACCAAATTGCCCTTGTTCGGTATTTGGAATGTTGAACAATCATGGGCATTTTTGTAATTTGATCCTTAAGAGGCCTCAACCATCATCATTATTAGAGCCTTTTCCCAACTATTTGAGGTCGGGTATTGAAATTCTGGTCTGCCATTCTGCTCTATCAAGGGCCTTACCCTTAGTGACAAAAATACCCCTAGTTGTTCCACATTACAAGTAAGGAACACATTGTTCAGAATTAGTAATGCATACCAACCAGGGGTATTTTTATCATTTTTCACTTAAATGCTTTGCATGTATCAAATTATAAAAATAATCTTAGTTGTTCCGCTTTACTAATAATGGACAATATGTTTCTTATTTGTAATGCAGAGCAACTTGGAGTATTTTTGTCCTTTGGGTGAGGCCTCTTGGGGGTCAAATTATTGAAATGCCTCTCATTCTTCTTCATTCAAAATACTGGACAAGGGATATTTGGGTTTTTTTTTTTTTTTTGGAGGAGGTATCTAAGTGAGATGCAAAAGAAAAAGTATCCCCTCAAATGTTAATGGATGAAGTTTCTATAGGGCCTAGGCATTATGAAAATGAAATAAAGCCTCACATCAAATCCCCATCTAGAAAGCACTTTCGGCAACAGAAATCTCTATGATTGATCTAATCAATTTCCAACACCGATAATAAAATTTGAAACTCAAAAAATGGTACAGATCTTGCAGATCTATGAACACTTAATTTTAGGGTGAAATGGACGGTCTAAATAATTCGTTACAATATTAACTATTTTTAAAGCTTAAAATCCTAATTTTTTTTCACAACTAATATGTTTAAGCCGAGATGATCGATGTAAAGGTTTTCCGATGCCTGAATTGTAATTTTTGCTGAATTATGAGGTGAGGCTTTACTTATTTTGATAGAGCTGCAGCCCTATCAAACCATTTTCCAATGTTAATAGGGATAATTTTTCAATGAATTTTTTAGGGGTTTTATCCCTTTTAATGATATTTTCTCTTTATTTTTCGAGCTCAAGAAATGAGGGTTCCCTTTATTTTTTGAACTAAAGAATAGGAGGGTCGAGATAATTCAGAGTATGCTATTGACTCAGTTCTTAATATAGTTATCAATCAACCATGAACTAATTTGAGTCTACTTACAACTCATCTAATCCTAGGTTTCTTTTTTTGGGAAATCCCAGAGGTCTTCTCTTCACATAAACCTGAATCTGTCCTCTGTGGTGCTTTGATATTTGTTTTAAAGATTTACTTAGGCCATACAATTATAATATTGTTCCAAATTATCCATAAATATTTTTTTTTTTATATTTCTTAAAGTATCCTTGTCTCAAGAATCTAAAGATATTAAAATTAGCCAGATTAAGACAGAGTATATGGAATGCAAGTTTAGTAAATAATAGGAGTAGAGACGAGGAAGTAGTGAAGATGGACGGGCAAGAAATACAAAAAAGAGTAGACTTTCAATACCTTAATACAGAAAAATGGAGAAATTGAAGATGTCGCACATAAAATTAGAGCTGGGTGGGAGAAGTGAGATGTGCAACCAAAGTTTTATGTAATTGCCGCATACCAATGAAGCTTAAGGGCAATTTTTGTAGGACAACTGTAAGATCAACTTTGCTCTGTGGGGCGGAATGTTGGGCAGTCAAGAAACAACATACTCATAGGATGAGTGCTCCTGAGATGAGGATGTTGAGTTGGATGAGTGGCATGACAACAAGGGTTAGAATCGAAATGAATACATTCGGGAGAACTTAGGTGTGGCTCCAAGAGGATATAAGATGAGAGAAAGTAGACTTAGATAGGCTGGCCAAGTGCAGCGTAGAATTAGTACAACATCTATTAGGAGGCACAAGTTAGTTCAAGTGGAAGGCTCAAAAAGGGAAAGGGATAGGCCCAAAAGGACATGGTCGGAAGTAGTGAGAAAAGATATAGGGACTTATGGCCTCATTGGGGGTATGGCCCTTGATAGGACAGGATGGAGGACCAGGAGTCGTGTAGCCAACCCCAAATAGTTGGAAAATATTTTTTGAAAACTCCCTAGGCTAAAAGTTTCTTCTGACTACGTCCTTATTATTCAATTAATGAAACTTTCTCCTAAATGCTAAATTACCACCTTGTATTATTTTTTACAGTTCTTTGAAAATTACTTACTCTTGCCTTTGAAATTTCCCACAGGCATCTCTACACTTTTTACTTGTTTACGAAAGTGAATAATTAGAACATTAGGTGAACCCTATGACTATGATACATTTTGACAGTGTGAAACATCATTCGTCCTATAGAAACATTACAAAGAAAATATCTGATGCAAGAAGGTGGTGGTATGTCGATTCTAAACTCCTGCTCAAACCATACCTTGCCTCATCAAGCTCCCCTACAGCGGAAAGCCTCATTAAGGATTGTAAAGACCCATGCTCTCAATAACATTATTGTGCACTTGATATATAAAAGAAGAACCACAGGCAATCAGCCAAAATATCAAACCACAGACTCAGCTTAGGAATAAGTTGAGTCGACTTGATATGACTCTGCATAGTCTTATATCATATATGACGCGGTTATGTCTTTAAAAAAATTAACTAAGGAATAGAGATTAGGCTGAATCTTTTAGAACTCTGCTGAAGCTTGGAGAATTTTTTTTTTCTCCCCCTTTTTTTTGGTTAAACTAGCAAAAAAATGCTAGGTTGGCTTGTTTAGGCTTTTTGGGACAAATTTCAAGGGTTCAAACCCTTGACCTCCCTCACCAAACCAATAATATCTACCACTAAGTTGAAGCCTAAGAGACATGTGAGTCTGCCACTAAAAAGACTCAGTGAGATGCTGACGTGAGTCAGCCATGTCGCTTAAAATTTATTATTAAATGAACAGGCTAGGCCTAGACTTGCAAGAATCAGCCAATACTCCTTGAGTTTCCTATTTCAATCAACTCAGGCGAGTCCGAGTCCAAAGTTGGCTCAACAAGTTCTTGAATATATCCTAACTGGACTTACCACAAGCTGCTTCAAAATGTTGTGCACTTGATGTGTAAATGATGAGATCAGCCCTTCTTACTCTTCCCTTACACACCTTCCAGTCCCACATCTTCTTCACCAGTGCCTTTGATCCTTTCCTACTGCTGGAACCTAATCAACTATTCCATACAACAAAAAGAAGCCCCTAAACTACGAATCATGTTACTCTTGCAACTGTCTGAAGATGCACGAGTTGCAAATGATAACTTCCATTATAGTGATCAACTTGCAAGGGAAGGATAATGACCATGCTAACTACCACTCTACCGGTGCCATCATTAGAATAAGAACTCATAAAACACTAAAGAGGAAATACAAAAAGAACCATGAAGAAAGACATCATTCTCAGAAACATTATGTTTACTTCTCCACCATGAATTCCACATGATGACTCTCTTTGTCATCATCATCATTATCTAATGCATTTCTCTACTACTTAAAATCTCAGCTAAGCTAACTTTCCACATGGTTAAACTCAATTTTTGATGACTTCTTCCCCTTTTCTAAAGGTGCAACCCTCTTTAATTTTGTATGTGACGATGATATTGTTCTTGTAGATATACTGACCTTTTATGGTTACTTTTATTTATAAGTCGCATTTGGATCATTTGCTGATGGAATTGCAGGTGTGATTCATGTGATCCAGCAGCCAACCATTTTTACTACAACCGTACTGATTTGAGGTTGGTTCTTGAAGCATTAAAATCATCCGATTTTTTATATGATGGTATTATTCATGCGATTACCATGCATTGGGAGATGTCCTTAGACTCTGCTGAAGTGAAAGGTTCTTTTAATCTTGAGAATCATGCCTTCTCTACAGACTTAAGCCCAAGCAGTCAAAGTTGTGAAATACCTATGGTTCCTCCATCTTCCCTTCCATCTTCTCATCCCAAAGCGCTCAAAGATTCCTCCATATTTGTTTCGGAAGGGATTCTCGAAAGAAATGATGAGAATGAGATTGGTCAGATGCATTCAAATACTGAAATGGCAACTCCTATGGCTGAGGAATCTCTAGAAATTCTTAAGCCAAAGCGACTGGGTTCATATATTGACAGTGATATTGACTGTGCTGTAAAAGAAGTGGACCATAGTTCAGGTCATTTACCAGAAAATAAATCTTCTGAGATAGAAGATTTTAAGTTGGAAGCAGGCGACAATATTGATCTGATTGATGACAAAGAGAAAAGTTCTTCAGTTCCTAGATCTGTTTCTGTTCAGAAGTGCATGAAAGATGATAGATCATCACTAAAAATTAAATCTGGGCCTAATTTATATGTAAAACCTAATTCATATGTAAATCTTTATTCTTTTGGTCATGTAGCTGCATCTGTTGCTGAAGATTTAGCATGTGTACCCTCAAATAGAATAAAGGATTCCTCCTCCAAAAAATTATCTCCGGAAATGGAAGAGCTGAAGATTTTTTCGAGGTCATTTCTGCACTTTCAGTGGCCTAATATTGAAGGAAAAATGGAGAACCTACAGCAAGAAAATTGTGGGTGGTGCTTCAATTGCAAAATTTCCAGTGATAAAGATTGTTTATTCAACATGGCTAATAGACGGGGCTTTCAAGATGGTAAATCTGGTGCAATTGGTCCTCATCGGAAGAATAGGGAGCAGAATCTTGTGTCAGTCATATCATACATTCTTTCTATGGAACACCACTTACGTGGTCTTCTTACGGGTCCATGGGAAAATCCGCACTTCAGTAAGCACTATCGTAAAAGTGTGCGTAAGGCATCAACTGCTGGATCACTGAAGCATTGGTTACTTACTGTAAGTGAATCAGCTTAATCATTCTTTTAAGTTGTTTATTGTATTTTGAGAAATCTTTTGATCTTCTTTTTTATTGTATTTTGAGAAATATTCAGTGATAGATTTAGTTCTAGGGGAAGTTTACTATGATCTAATGGAACCCAATTGGGTTATCATTATTGTCTGAAATGATGGACATTGATGTAGAGAGAGGGGACCCACCAGTACAAGTGATGGCCCCAATTGAGTTTCTGACTTTCTCCACAACCACACATAGTGTCAATAGACGGTGACAACCCGTTGCACTATGGTTTCATCTGATCCTTGGATTATAGGATTGTTTCCCCTTGTCCAGCCACTTTGTTCATTGAACAAATTTCTAACTAATACAATTTCACAGTTAGAGTCAAATATGCGGCGTGTTGCACTTTCGGCAGATTGGTACAAGCAAGTGGACTCTGCAGTTACTTTGGGGTCTGCTTTTCTTTTCTCAACCAGTTTACTAGATATATCTGCAAAACGTGGGGCTGGAAGAAAGCGGGGTAGGAAGAACCTACCAGATTCTCAAGCAGAATCAATTTTGAAAATAGCTAAGAGATCAGGTCTCCATTGGTGGAGGGGTGGAAGGACTTCACGCCAAGTGTTTCACTGCAAGGCATTGCCTCGGTCTCTGGCATGCAAGGGAGGAAGGCAAGGTAAGGTCTCAATTATTTGTTTCTTATTTTTCTATCAAGGGAAAGTACAATAGTCCACTGGACTGTGGAAAGCCATACTGCATAGTCCAATGAAATAGCAGACATTATGGAGAGATGTGGGACCCACTGTTGGGATCATATGGATTCCCACTCATATAGTGATTATTCAATGGGCTAGGGTTTTTCCATTGCCTGTTGAATTATAGTTAACTTTCCCTTCTATGGATATCATTGTTTATTTCTTGAGCATTAATACCATCTAGCTGTGTCTTTAGCTTGATCACTTTGGATATTTTTGGCATTTTTTGCAGCTGGTTGTAAAAAGCTTCCAGGATTGGTTTACAATGAAGGTTCGGATTTTGCCAAGAGAAGCAAATATATTGCCTGGAGAGCTTGTTTAGAGATGGCAACAAGTGTAGCACAACTTGGTTGTCAGGTATTCATTCACTCTTTCTATATTTTATGTTTGGCTCGTGTATTGCCCCCTTCTCCCCCCCCCGCCGTGTTTTGGCTGTTACTATAGTAGGCTGTTTATCTGTGTAATATTTGTGATAAGTGATTTTTAAACTCTCTTATGGAGCTTGTTCCAGCTTAGGGACCTTGATCAACATATTATGTGGGATGATATAGTGAGCACTGAAGTTTTCTCTCGTTCAGAGAGGGAAGCTACTAAGCTTGTTAGACCTTTGAAGAAGGTGACTATTCGGAGTAAATGTACAGAGGGGCTGGAGATAAAGTATTTATTGGACTTTGGAAAGAGAAAAACTGTTCCAAGCTTTGTTGTCAAACATGGTGCAAAGGATGAAGAAGAATTGAATGGGAGGAAAGCAAAGTATTGGCTTGATGAGTCTCATGTTCCTCTGAATCTCTTGAAAGCATTCGAAGAGAAACAACTGGCTCATACGCATAGGAAGATGAAACCTGAGGAGTTGCCTCAGGTGTGGCAAAAAGGCTTGAAATCTTCACGAGAAAATGTATTTCTACGTCTTTTATCCAAAGCAGAGAAATACGATAGCTGTCAGTGTGGTCACTGCAAACAGGATGTGTTGATCAGGTATACTAAAATCTTCCCCATTGCATACAAAAGCCTTTTATGTTTGTTTTTGAGATAGTTTACTGCACTGTAATGGAGGCATTTTAAAATTTTAATATTGCATGTACAATGAAATCTTCTTAGCCTCATGTAATCTGGAATCAAAAGTGACATTTCTGGCTGGACTTTATAAATTGCTAAAATGTAGCCACTTATTAATGCAAGGAGCCTATAATCCAATAACCTTAGCCTTGTGTATTTTGGGTGCATAGAAGAGAGATTCTTAGGCAGGTTTTGTTTTTGTTCAAGAAGTTTGGAAATCCATTAGTGAGTAAGATCCTCAGTTCCAAGGCTCTGAGTTTTTTGATATGAAATAATGGAATGAATAATCAGTCTACCTCAAAGCATGCAATGTATTTCATTGAATTCAAAGTAGCCTGTAATCATGTGGCCAACATGCAATTCCACATGCATATGCCACAAAAAAAAAAAAAATCACCTGTTAAGAACAAAATTTTTCATAGTTCCATATTCAATCTCTCAGATCACATTTGCAATGGATATGAATCTATATATGGATTAATTTGTTATGGAGCAAAGAATTACTAGAATATGGCCATGCTAGATAGAATATAGAATTGGAATGAAACCACTTGAAGAACACAACAGAATGTCTGACTTCTTGTGCTCCAAGTTTCAGAGAAGATTTGCAGGAACTGTCTTTGAAAGGTGTCACATATTTGATATCCTTTATTAGTAAAGAATCTAAATTAATATACAATGTCCATGAAAATATAAACACTATATTCTATGCGAAAACTTGGAGCTTTCTTGAGATAATTCGGGTACTACTCAATTTGGCTGAACTACAGATTCCTCTTTGTAGTTTGAAATATTGATCTAATTTACAACATAGCAGCAAATCATATCTATTCTTTTATTATTTTCATATCATGAACATCTATTTGATTCTCCAAGAGCATATGTTTCTTTTAGAGATTTTAGGATTAAGGAATCTATTGTCCATTTTTGGTGATACTGTCTATTTATTCTTTCAGGAAAGCAGTGAGCTGCCATTTTTGTAAAGGTAGACATCTTCTCGATCCACAAACATTTGCCTGTAATTTGTTGGTGTTTCTTTTCCTTTTGACATGTTAAATACTCATTTTATTTGAGGAGATCGGTAGAAATCCTGAAAAAATCCATCTGCATATAACACACTAGTGATGTTTACATGAAGTTTATGGCACCTCGTGAGATGAAAAACATTTGTATCATAGATGTCCATGAAAATCTGCTGTTTTCAAGTGTTGGTAGTAGACTAGTAGCAGATCAGTTGACTTGGTAAAGCCTTTTTCTGAGAGAGTATTGTTATGCAACCATTACTTGTAATTAATGCTACATTATTATAATTAGTATTGCTGTTGTTGTTGTTGTTGTTCTTTGATTCTTATAGAGGTGAGTTGCTCCAAATGGAGAGCACCATCTGAGATGTAAGCAGTAGGGGGGTGAGAGAGAGAGAGAGAGAGAGAGAGAGAGAGAGAGAGAGAGAGAGAGAGAGAGAGAGAGAGAGAGAGAGACATAGTATAGTAGTAGTAGTACGTGTACGTAGTGTAGTAGTAGTACGTACGTACGTACGTACGTACGTACGTACGTACGAGTACGTACGT